AGTGCTTGTTTCACCTGCCTGCATACCAAGGTAGCCTCAAAAATCGTGTTCCCTTCTCCCACCTCAGGCACAGGGCTGTAGCTCAGCCCGTCCTTGGCAGTACCACCTTGGAGGCGGCTTTTGTACCTGCTGCGTGGTTTGCAGGTTCTATTTTGTCTTGGGAATCCTTTCTTGGAGTCATGTTCAGGACAAGCTGTGTCTTGAACAACCAAGACAAACAAAACAACCCAAAAATACTAGTGAAGACTTGAGTGGTGATGGGGAGTCAGTTCCCCAGGCAGTGCCAGCTCTGCGAGGCTGATGGATCCTACGGAGCAAGTCCTGGCTGAGGAGGAATGTTCTCTTGCAGAAAACTGGGATAGTTGAATGCAGAATTCTCCAAGGTTTTGTAGACAGGGTAGGGATGTTACGTATTTAACAATTTTGAATCCCTAAAGATTATTAAAAAATGCTTATGCCAGGGAGAGTGAGTTTTCCTAGCCCTGACAGTCAGGCACAGCTACACAACAGGCAGGAGCTGGTTCTTTGTCCAGTTCCTCATGTCCATCTTGCAGATCCCCATGGTCATCACTGTCACTAGACAAGTGATGAGAAGAGGTTATAAATGGGTGTGTGGAGGCTTGTACTAAGGTGTGCTGGGGAGGCTTGGAGGATGAGAGAACCTCTGAGCCTCCAAGGACATAGAAGGACACATGCCATGACACAGGACTGTACCACAGCCTATACTACTTGTTCAGGGAGCCCTGGGGCTGCCTCTGCCTCCTTATTTCCCATCTCCACTCCCTACAGGCAGTTTTGGGTTGGAGCTGCCTCTTCACAGAAAGGGATGGCTGGCAGCTGCCTTGCTTGCAAAGCCACCAGGTGCTGGGCTAATGTCCTCTGCCACCCAAGAGCCAGTTCTACTCAATACTGAAGCACTCAGAGGTCGAGGAACAGTTGCCAAAGTCAATATGATGAGTGTGCCTGTAGCAGCAAGACAGATGAACTTTTGTCTGGCAACCACTTTTTTCCCCCCTGTTTTTGATATCTGGAGAATATCTGTGTCCCTTTGAAGCAGAGACACTCCCACTTCAGTGCTACTTACTCTTCTCTTTCACTGTGTGTGCTTAGTGAGGGGGGGAAAAAAAAGCTGTCAGGGTTGTATCAGGAGTGTCTGAGATGGCAAATTTGGCTGCAGGACCAACAAGAACATCTCAGCTGTCACTGACTCAGGAGCTTTTCTTTGTGTTTACAGACTGGCCCCTGAGGGCTGTCTGGGCCTGGTGTGCATGGAGAGGTGTGTGCTAGTGGGGTTCCTCACCAGCTCTTTGTGGCTGGACCAGGAATACTGGAGGTGACAAGAGAGAGACCACAAGGGAAGTCCTCAGCAGAGCCCGAGACTGCGCCAGGGCCTCACACAGAGGAGATCACAGGCTGCAGGAAGCTCCTGGCCTCCAAATTGGCAGCTCTGCTCCCCCAGGGACCATGCGACAGAAGGAACAGCACGTACAAGGTTGGTGAGCTTCTGCCAAACCACAGAGACACACGGGCTGTGGCCACACCAGGGTGATGCTCCCAACTCCCACTGCACCACCATTCACAACCTGGGATTGCTTTAAATCTGTTTCCCTCTAAACACAAGAGCCAGATCAGTTCTTAACACTTGAAAGCAGCAGACTGGGGCTGGTGCTGTTTCCTAGAAGAGTGTTGAGAGTCAAATCCCTGGAGTAAAGTAGAATCCAGGAAAATAATAGTAATGGTGATTCATTGGTCTCTGTATCTGACATCTCAGCATCCAACAGTGCTCCAGTGACCTGTTGCCATTTTCCTGTTACACCCCAGTTTTTGAACGAACTCCACAAGCTCTAAGCTTGGGGCTGTGTTTACCTTGGGAATTGTGTGCCTGCCTGGCTCCTTTGCAGGCTCCAGTAGATAAATATGCCCATTATCACCTACAGATTCACCATACTCAGAGCCCCATGAGCTGCAGTTTCACAATGCTGCTCAGATGGTTACCTCACAAGGCCAGCACATTCAGTTGGTATTTAATGGTAGGGTGGACAATGTATTTTAAAATAGATCAGTTGGTATTTAATGGTAGGGTGGACAATGCCATATATTTTAAAATAGGGCTTGAAGAATGCAGCTGGAGGGCAGGGTCTGCCTGGGAATGGGCTCATCCAGCTCTTAGTGCCAGTGGGATTTAACCACGTGTGGTACAACAGAGCTGAGCATGCTTGTCCTTGGCTCCACTTGCAGCTAAGTTGTATTCAGAATAAGCTCAGCTGCATCAGTTAAACAATGCCAAAATAAACCACTGGAGCTTGGAAAGGCTTTGCTGCTTTGGAGATCCATGAATCTCCATGTAATGCAAAATCCACAGTATTTACAGAGCCTCACTGCCTGAGAGAGACCTTGCCCACAACCACCCATTCATCAGAATCTGAGATAATGGTTTCTCTCCGTGCCTGGCTTGATAAACCACAATTTCCATCAGATCAGCCTGTAAAAAGTACTTACATGATCACAAAAGCAGATCCTTTGCTAATAAAATGTATCCACAGCAAAAAGTTAATTCCTCTTCCACTGAAGTGCTAGAAAGCAGCAGAAGGCTTCTGTTGGCACATGTTTTGGAGCTAGGAAATCAACGGCTAAAAACCCCCGATGTAAATCCATTGCTTTGGGGGGAAAAGTGCATTTCCATGATAGTTTACATCATTTACATGATTACAACAGGCCCTGCACGAGGGAAGATACACTCGTCCCAAAATAATAAATAAACCAAACCAGTGTAGGCAAGTTCAGGATCCAGGCAGGGCTGAGAAGGATGGAGCAACCTGAGGTGGGGGGCTGCGTGCTGGCAGTGCTGCTGTGGTCCTCAAAACTCCTTTCAGTGCAGCCCCCAAGCAGACATGGAGGTTTGAGTCACAGGAGTGATGAGTTTGTTATGAAAATAGGTCCATCCTTTGTCCCAGCAAAGTGCTTGGAGGATGGGAAGTGCCAAGGTGCTGTGGGAGGGTGAGGGGCAGCGATGCTCCCCAGGGGCAGAGCCTGGTGTCTACAGGAAGCAAAGGGACCCTGGCTCTACATCCCCATCCAATTCAATGTACCCCAGACGTGGGTTTCCTTCAGCATCCAAGTCATCCTGAACCATTCTGCTCATGAGATGTCCAGCTTGGGAAAACAAATGGCTTTGTTCAACAGAAGTGAGGAGCTCCCCTTCACATCTGTCTGATCCAAAGCATTGCTAGTGGATGAGAGTGTTTCCATTTATGCCACGTCCATAGAAATAATTTCAATCCTATTGTTCCCATGTGTTTTTGCTCTGCCTTAGCTCTGGATCCCCAGAAAGCTTTCCCTTCCACAGGATTTCATTTCCAGCTTTGTTTAAAAAAACCAACAATGGCAATTTCTTTTACTTTGTTTGCTACAGGAAGGTTTATTTTGCTTAACTGTTTGGATTTTATTTTTTTTTCCTAGTTTCTGTCCTGGGTTATTTTGTGCTGCTGGATGCTACAAAACTGGTGTGAAATTGAACCCCTGACCTGGTTGTGTTTTGATGGTGAACACAATATAAAGCATGAGAGCTGTGACCAAAAGGTAAGTAGTTATGCAATTATATTTATTTTTGTATTCTCTGCTGGTTTTAAGATCCACCACTGCAGACAAACCCTTTCTTTGGTGATTGCATCAGGTTTTAATTTTTTTCCAAGCTCCTTAAACCTAAACTCAACTACTCTAGCCCTGTGAGTAATAGTGTTTGCTAATTCGTGGTATTTTGCCATTTTCTTACACCAGGAAGTGTCACGTTGGGCGACAACTGCCCTGAGCCCCAGCTCTGGTGCTTTTTGTGAAACCTCTTACGTTTGGTCAGGCTGCTGTTAGTGGGGACTTTTCTCCGTGTGGCAACACCCCCGCGGTGTCCCAACGGGCTGCGGGGATGGCTGAGCCCTCCTCGTGCGGGGGGAAACTGGGGAGGAAAACTTTCGGGGGTTGGGGAGGGGGGAATTTTTCACTTGCCTTTTGGCAAAGTGGCCCTTGCCAGGGTCGCAGCCCCTGGCCCCGAAACAGCCGTGGTGAGCAGCTGCGGTGGGAGCTGGGGCTGGAGGGTGCTGGGTGCGGGAGAGGCGGGGAGAGCGGGGGAGGTGGGGTTGGAGGGGTGCGAGGGTGTGGGGTGCG